ACCTCCACCTCCCCAGTTGGAACAATTCTTGTCCCTCAGCCTGCTGAGTAGCAGGGATTACAGGTGTGAGCCACCACACCCTACTAATTTTTGTATTTTTAGTGGAGATGGGATTTCACCATGTTGGCCAGGCTGGTCTTGAACTTCTAACCTCAAGTGATCCGCCCGCTTTGGCCTCCCAGAGTGCTGGGATTACAGGTGTGATCCACCGCACCTTATCACCCCATTGTTAAGTCCAGAGAATTAGGCCCTCCTGCCTGAAGATTCTACTGCTAGAGTAGTTTGTCTTTGGCTGCCCAAGTCCTGCCTTGAAACAATGAGAGGGTAACTTGGACCAGGCCTGCCTGGGCCTTGTGTGTTTATGGCCTGGCCACTTGAATCAGGGTCACCTTCACTGTGTTTTCCCTTTCATTTCAGCAAATTATGCGCACAGCCATGAAATACAACCTGGGATTGGACCTGAGAACAGCTGCCTATGTCAATGCCATTGAGAAAGTCTTCAAAGTGTACAATGAAGCTGGTGTGACCTTCACATAGATGGATCGTGGCTGACTTCCTCACCACCCTCTTCACCTATAACTTCTGCTGACCTATCATGAGTTTACATGTAACCACAGAAATCCCCTTCTCTCCTGACTCATTAGATAATGGATACCATTCTCAACAAGTCAATCCAAATCAACCCCTTAAGGAGAAAGAAATTAAGGTTAGGGGATCATGTACAAGCTGAGTGTGAAAGTAGAAGTCACCTACACCAGAGAGCCATTTTGGTATTTTGCCTTTAAACAAAAAGTCTTCTCCATCTGGCTGTGCAGCCTTGCCCTGTGGCTTTTCCCAACACAATCAGTGCTATTGCTGGGGAAGGGACAGTCAAGAGCAGTCAGTTGCTTACTTATGTTGCTCTGGACAAGTCTGGGACATGCTGTAACTTTAACACTTAAGTAGGTGTGTGGCATTTTCAGAAGGTGGCATGGTCCTCAAGTGAGTTCTTAGTATTTTATATCAGCAAAATAACTCACTTTTACAGGTTGCAAACAAATACAAAAGCTGTTTCTGCTTATGAATTTTATTCTTTTAGAATAAAATAAGTACATGCTGCTGTAATAAAATTGCCTTTAATCACTTAACAAGCCTAACCTTGACTCAAACAGTGAATGCCTATAATAAATGGAAAAAACTAGTATTTTTATATCATGAAACAATGTCATTTATAGCTTCTCAGTCATGTATTGTTGTCCAGCAAACATTGAAAGCCCTGTGGATAATTATCTTCATACCTGCAAAGACGATGGAGGCTATTTTCGTTAAAACTGTCAGAATTTGCTAACTATAATTATGACATGTAGGCCAAAGAATGCAATAACCTCCTTATCATGTTAACTAATTGTTCTCTTTTGAAGATCTATTGTTGACTAATTGAATAATAATTCAAGTAGAATGTCCCGGAAAAAAACCACTGGGCTCCCTGTTTGGAGTCTGGCTGGCTCTGAGCATTGCCAATGGCCCCTACTCACCTGACTTTATGTCCTCTCCTTTTAGAGGCTGTGCATTCTGCACCCAGCTTCACTCACAGTGGGCTGAAAACAACCTTGGGTTGAGTGTTTTGTTTGGGAGTTACTTGGTCAGGGCCTTTTGAACAGTAGTGTCCCAGTGAAGTGCTAGATAATATATGTGTAAGAATGAGCTTTTTTTTTTTTTTTTAAACTATAACACCCTTTCAAAAATTTCTAACAACTTTGTAACTGCATGGCTTTACCTGGTGATAAAAGCAGTTATTAAAAGTCTACATTTTCCAAAACTTAACGTTTCTTTTCTGTGTTTCTACCTGTGGTACTTTCTCTTTTCATGAATGATAATACTACAATTAGATTTCTGAAATGTTTATAGTGACCACCTGCATAACATTTCCTTCCATTTTATTCTTGATTTTTTTTTTTTTTTTTTTTAGTACTCTACATGTTCAGAAAAACTTCTCTAGTAACAAACTATAAAAATGATTGCTAAAAGTATAGTCTTTATTCTTGAATTATTTTGTATTTTATTAAATAATACCAATAGATGTTCTTGAGGAAGAGGCCCTAATGTTTAAAGCTGATATACTGAAGTAATTTTTAGTGCTGTTTTTTCACCAAAAGGGATTTTGTGTGGAATAGTTTAGCCACAGAATGTAACAACTATTGAAGAAAGCATACTAACTGTAATCAGAACTGGATTCTAGACTTGATTCCACCAGTTACTTAGCTGCCAATGTGAAGCCTGACTTTCATTTGGCCTTTGTATGTCATGGTTCTGCCTCTGCATGCTTCTGGGATCCAGTCAGTCAAATAAACAGGCCCCCAGTACATGGACATAGTGAGCCCTTCCCCAGCATGGTGGTGTCTGTCTGCACTCTAGGTGGATTACTAAAATGTGTAAGGGGGAAAGTGATTTTAAAAAACTAGTTCCAGAATGTTAGAATAGTGGGTAGGGCAGCAGATTCAAGTCATGTGAATGTGGGATAAGTCTTAGCGGTGGCCTTTGACTATATATTGGAAGTATTGATTGTTTTTTTGGCTTGTGGGGGGTGGGTTTTGTTTTTTGAGACAGGGTCTTGCTCTGTCACCCAGGCTGGAATGCAGTGACACAATCACGCTCACTGCAGCCTCTACCTCCTGGGCGCAAACAGTTCTCTTGCCTCAGCCTTCCAAGTAGCTGGGACACAGGTATGCGTACTATACCTTGCTAATTGTTTTCATTTTTTGTAGAGATGAGGTCTCCCTGTGTTGCCAAGGCTGGTCTCAAACTCCTGGGCTCAAATGGTCCTCCCGCCTTGGCCTCCCAAAGTACTGGGATTATAGGCATGAGCCACCACGCCTGGCTGATAGTAATTTTTTAAAGATTAATGTTGAGTATTGTTGATAGTAATGTTAAAAAATAAATTGTCTGTGCTACCTATATAAAGGCGAAAGCACTAGTGTAATTTTGGTTCCTGAAGGTTTTAGTTTTTAAAATTCTGGTCAATTACGCTTTTTACTTTACGCTTTTATTTTTTCAGGTTTATTTACAATTTCTGTTGGTTTTTTTGTTTTGTTTTGTTTTGTTTTTTGAGATGGAGTCTCACTCTGTCGCCCAGGCTGGAGTGCAGTGGCACGATCTCTGCTTACTGCAACCTCCACCTCCTGGGTTCAAGCAATTCTCCTGCCTCAGCCTCCCAAGCAGCTGGGACTACAGGCATGCACCACCATGCCCAACTAATTTTTTTGTATTTTTGGTAGAGATGGGTTTCACCATATTGGCCAGGCTGGTCTTGAACTTCTGACCTTGTGATCCACCCACCTCAGCCTCCCAAAGTGCTGGGATTATAGGCGTGAGCCACCTCGCCCAGGCTATTTACAGTTATTTTTAAAACACACATGGTACTCAAGTTACTTCTGAAATAGCCATAGGTGACTATAGTACCTGAAGAAGACTTAACTTGCTTTATGAGCCTCTACACCAGAGTGTATTCTGATTACCCTGATTAAGGAGATGAAAAGTAAAGGCATGATTTTTCAGTGCTTTTGGCACCTTAACTAGTAGGATTAATGATTACTTTTTATATTTTTTTTCTTTTTTCCAAAAATTTTTTTAACTCTATGACTCTAGCCAAAGAGTTGATTGATTTACTTTCTACTTTAAAAAAGCCTGACATCTTAACTCACAAGCAAGTAAATTCCATATTCTCTAAACATCCTTGGCAGGCTTTCCCAGCCCTGCTGTTCATGAAGGCAGTCAAGTATGGCACAAGGAAACTACTTGTGGGTATTGTACAAAAATTTGTTTTTATGATTTTTTAATTTAACAGATAACTTTTATTGACTTATATTTGTATTTTAATCAAACATACTTTAGAGACAAAATCTCACTCTGTCACCCAGGCTGGAGTGCAGTGGCACAATCTCAGCTCACTGCAACCTCCGCCTCCTGGGTTCAAGCGATTCTTCTGCCTCAGGGATGTTGAGTAATATCCCTGGTCTCTACACATTAGATGTCAGTAAGACCCCTCAGTTATAACAATAACAGATATATTCAGATTGCCAAATGTCCCCTGTGGAGCAAATCTCAGCCTCCCAAGTAGCTGGGATTACAGGCATGCACCACCACACCTGGCTGATTTTTGTGTTGTTAGTAGAGATGGGGTTTTACCATGTTGACCAGGCTGGTCTTGAACTCCTGACCTCAGGTAATCTGCCTTCCTCAGCCTCCCAAAGTGTTAGTATTATAGGCATGAGCCACCACACACAGCCTCAAATATACGTTAGACAGTTTTTCACATCAACACTAGGGACATTTTAGGCTATGTAATTCTTTGTGGTGGGGCTCTCTGCCTTGTAGGATGTTGAGTGATATCCCTGGCCTCTACACATTAGATGTCAGTAAGACCTCTCAGTTATAACAATTACAGATACATTCAGATATTGCCAAATGTCCCCTGAGGAGCAAACTCATCCCTTGTTGTGAACTGTGATCCAGAGAGACAAATAATGATACAAGGTTTATTGTCACAATAGTTTGTCCCCTCCAGTTCAGACACCTGCCTTGCCATTTTCCATTCCCCAGAGGCAACCACTTTTCAACAGTCTTAAATGTTTCATTTTTATTCTATTTAAAGCCTTTGCTCATTTTTAAATTGTGTTTGCATTATTGAGTGGTAAGGGTTCTTTATATATTCCACAACCAGGTGTTGTGGTATAGGCCTGTGGTCCCAGCTACTCAGAAGGCTGAAGCAGGAGGATCACTTGAGCCCAGAAGTTCAACACTAGGCAACAGAGCAAGACCCTGTCTCTAAATGAATTTTTGAAACATAAACTAGATAATTGAGTTTTATCATGTATATAATTTGCAGTATTTCCTCTCAATCTGTTAGTTGTCTTTGCACTTTCTTGATAGTCTCTTTTTTTTTTTTCTGCAATGTCTGAAAAGTGGAACCCAGATAGTCTCCTTTTTAATCTTAAGACAGCATAATTTATTTTTCCTCTGGTCGGTGTGCTTTAGGCTGTGTGTAAGAAACCATTGCCTAATCCATAGTCATGCAGATATATCCATTTTTGGTTTTGGTTTTGTTTTTGTTTTGAGATGCTCTTGCTCTCTCATCCAGGCTGTAGTGCAGTGGTGTGATCTCACGGCTCACAGCTAACTGCAGCCTCTACCTCCTAGGCTCAAGCAATCCTTACCCCTCAGGCTCCCGAGTAGCTGGGGCTACAGGCCCATATCACCAAGCACAGCTAATTTCCATATTTTTGGAGAGACAAGGTCTTGCCATGTTGCACAGACCAGTCTCGAACTCCCAGGCTCAAGTAATCCTCCACTTTGGCCTCCCAAAGTGCTGGGATTACAGGTGTGAGCCACGGTGCCTGGCCTAGAA